ATACCACGTCACATCGGACAGAGTGGCTAAAATGAGCAAATCAGAGAACTCTGGATGCTGGTGAGGATGTGGAGAAATGGGCACCCTCCTACACTGTTGGTGGGAATGTAAACTGGTGCAGTCCCTCTGCAAAACAGTGTGGAGATCTCTCAAAAAATTAACAATAGAACTCCCCTATGACCCAGCAATAGCACTGCTAGGAATTTACCCAAGGGATACAGGAGTGCTGATGCATAGGGGCACATGTACCCCAATGTTCATAGCAGCACTCTCCACAATAGCTAAAACATGGAAAGAGCCTAAGTGTCCATCAACTGAAGAATGGATCAAGAAGATGTGGTTTATCTATACAATGGACTACTACATGGCAATGAGAAAGAATGAAATCTGGCCATGTGTAGCAACCTGAATGGACCTTGAGGGTGTTATGCTGAGCGAAATAAGTCAGGCAGAGAAGGACAGATACCATATGTTTGTGCGTATAGGAGGATTAGGAGGAACTTAACGGAAGACCATGAAGGAGAAGAAGGGGAAAAATAGTTGGGAAGAGAGAGGAAGGCAAACCATGAGAGACTCTTGAATGCTGAGAATAAACTGAGGGCAGAAGGGGTAGGGAGAGCCGGAGGGGGGTGATGGGCATGGAGGAAGGCACTTGTGGGGATGAGTACTGGGTGTTTTATGGAAACCAAGTTGACAATAAACTGTTTGAAATTAAAAAAAAAGAAGAAATGTTTAGCTGCTCAGAGGAAGCTGGAGTAAGAAGTGAGGCCAGCATCTTCTCCAGGGACTGAAATCTGTCTGGTCTACCTCTCCTTTTGCTGGAAGTATCTCAACTGCAGCCTCTAAATATATTTCCTTTTCTCCATTTTCTCCTCACCATTGAAATTACCTTCATGAAACATAATTATGATGATGTCATTTTGCTCTTTAGAATACTTTACAAGTCCTCCTTTATCTGCAGGAGGAAATGTAGGGTCTCAGTGTACCTCAGTGTAGAATAGGTCCCTGCCTAATTTCCCCAGGCTCATCACCCACCATATCCCCATTACTTGATCTATAGTATTCTCTCTGCTAGAAATGCACTTATCTGCCTCGAATACTCTTATTCATTCTCTGAGACCCAATCCAGATATCCTTTTGTCACAAAGCCTTCCACACCCTCTTTCCCACTGTACCCACACCATGTCATTCCTTTCTCTGTTCTTTTGCTGCAATTGGCATAATTTCTGTTACACTCTTTTTGCATGGAATTCCATGATCTTTCTCTATTTCATCTACAGATGGAAAGCCACTTGAGGCCAAGGATTGGCTTACTCATCTTTGTGTCCTCAGAGAGAACTTAGCATAGTTGCTGACATATAGGTGGCAATCATTAAATGCTTTTACACAAATCTAATGAAAGAATGAATTGATTCTATACAACCTCATTTCTGAATCATACATTAAATGCCTTTCTTATTCTTTTAAAAGCCTTCAATCCAGAGAGGTTTATTCGCCACAAAGGAGAGATTTATAATTAACTAGTTAACTAGTTGATCTGGTTCTGACAGGGAGTGTGGTGGGAAGGGGGAGATGCTCAGAGGCACAAGACCCCATTAGCTTGAAAGATTCTAGATCTCTCTTGCATTTGATTTTTTTAAAAAAAGAAATCCAGACTTGCTTTCCAGTTTGAATTCATCACATTAGATCTGTCCAACAAGGATTATAATCACCACTGCAAATGATCACCTATGGTTAATAATGCAGAGTCAAACCAGACCAAGAATATAAGGTTATCTTCCAGAACATTACATCTCCTAAAATAACCTTTGAGACCAGGTAAGCTGTAGAGAGATTTTCAGAAATAACCACTGAGCATGCAGAACAGTCTATTAGGAAGAGATGCAAATCCAGAAATATGAGGAGATTTTCACGTACTATTCCCTGCTACAACTGAGTTCAAAAGGGGGTATTAAGTAGCCCTAAAAACACATGAGGATGTCAAACATCACCAGTGAGACTGGTTGGTCCTATCTCTGGGGTTTCACTGTCACCTCAAATATTTCAATTTTTTGTAAATATTGTGCCGCTGAATGGGAGGAACTTCATGTGGGTTTATACAGTCTGAAATGCAGGCCAAAGTCATTCTCAACCAGCTATTCACAAAAGCTGTGAATTAAGGGTATTACTCACATTCAGTGTGCATTACAAACATCGCCTGCCACAGGGCTATTTGAAGTGAAAAATCTGCCATTTCCCCCCTTTCCTCCTCTTGCCTAGAGCTCTGCCTTCTCAGTCAGTTTGGTAAGAGTAGCTTGCTAAAGGGACAGTTGGAAAGAGCTTCCATTGAAACAAATGAGAGTTTGCCTTAGGGCTTTGTGAGCCAGAGTGTCCTCAGACAGAGGCTCAGGGAGATCCAAGATCTCTTGGACGCCCCTAGTGGTTATTGCATAAACTGCAAGAAGAAGTAAGCTAAAGATGGTGACTGCCTTAGCAGGGGATGACTTGGGACAAATCGATGTATTTCGTGTCAGAAAATCTGCTTTTGGCACAATTAAAGAGAAATTTGAAATGTAAAGGATAATTAGGAGACAGTCCTCCTTGATCAGATGGTTTGCATGCTGGTATTTTTCTTCTCTTCTAATCATCTAGCACTTCCCTCTATGCTCCCTGGGTTCTGAGACCTTATTTTCATAGCTAGTAGCAATTAGTTCACATTAAATGCATGCATGTTTGTGAAATCTGGAACATGCTATTAATAATAAGATTTATAATGACTCCAGGGCTGGTGAGTCATTCAATTCTCCAGTGATTGACTGTTCATTCATTGTACAAATAGTCATTGGACACAAACACTCCTCTGCAAAGGCCTGTAATAGGTATTCCAGAATGTCACTTGGGCTATGGACACATATGACTGCCAAGCAAATGATGACTGATTTTTCCAAATAATTCACTTCAATATTATTCCCCACCCGTGCCTCCAAAAATAAACAAAAACCAGTAATCACAGATTTTTTAAAAAATCAACCCACCTGCTCAAGTTCTTTGGAAGTTTTGACTTTTTATTAGGAACATATTGTTCAGATTTCAGATAGACAGGCCCTGCAGGTGGTTACATGTTCCCCTTAGAAACAAGTGTTCACTGGGGTGGGCCCCTAACCTAGTAGGGTACGATAACTTTTTTCTGAATCAAGGAGCATTTGTTAGTCATGTCCTATAGATCAAGTATCTCATGGGCACTGGTCATTTGATAACAATGACAGCTGTGAAGTAGGTATTGCTTCCATTTTCCTGATGGAGAAAATGAAGCTCCCCTAGGTGACAAAGTAAGCAAGTGACAGATGTGGAAACAGAACCCAGGTCTTCTGAGTCTAGGGTGCTCTTTGCTACATCTCACTTCTCTGTACACATTTCTCCTCACTGATCCTGTGCCTCTCTCTCTTTTTGTTCTTCCTTGCTTTTTCTTTTATAGCACCTTGGCTGCCATTCCCCAGGGCCCAGAGCTGCCAGAGGGGAATTTTGCTAGAAAACTGAATATACCAAGGTAATCTGCTTCATAATCTTACAACCTCATGCTTTCCAATTTTATTTGCATTCAAAGGATGGATGGAAGGAAGGAAGGAAGGAAGGAAGGAAGGAGGGAGGGAGGGAAAGAGGAAAGGAAGGAGGGAAGGGAAAAGGAATCCTATCTTAGACTGGGCAGTGAAGGAGTGAACATTAACTACTTACTTTGTCCCCAGTTTTCTCATCTGTTTTGTGGAGATTTAGATGATTAAATCTTTAGATGATTAAACCTTCCTCACTTATAACATGGGGATTAGCAAGTCCTTTTTAACTCTGTTCTATGGCTCCACCAGTGAAGTTGTAGAGAATGTGGCACCCAGCTGGGAGAGAACTATAAGTTCAGAAGTTTGTCTGGACCCTTCTATTCAACTGAAGATGCCCTTCTGTAAGCTCCCTCCTCCAAATTTGGATGGTACCCTAATGGATGGTATTAGATCTCTCTCTGTTTTCATAATTGGATATCAAATCCTCTAGATGTGATAGTAACACAATCAAACCTGTCCACAATGTGTGAGCAGTTCTCTGCTTTGCTGGACTTGTTAATAATCCGCATTGTTCTTTTTCTTTGCTTTCAAGTGCTGATCTCTTTCTGAGGAGGTAACTAGCCATGCACCACAGTGTGATCTTGGGTACCTCTATCCCAGCAAGTGAATGTTCACCTTCTAGTGAAACTTAGCACAGCGTCCCCTCAGGAGCAAAAGTGGGCTTGGTGCTACTGACAAAAAGTGCTCCCTGCTAGATGCCATTCAGGGACATGAGTCTGAATGTCCCCCCTACCCCGCTCCAGCCCCCGGGCCCAAGGGAATGGCTCCGGTGTCACCAAGCCACTGCTGGCACCTGGGCCCCATCAAGGCTGACAGGGCTGAGTGGAGGTCAGCTGCTAGCTGCTACTCCCAGAGCAGGTCTCTGGGGATCAGTGGAGGAGAGAGCAGGGGAAGCAGCTTGCCTCACCTGCTCACCAGGCTGCTCTGGAGAGACATAGAGGGCTTCCATCTCCATTACTGTCAGAGTCTGGCATCTTTCTCCAGCTCTGAAATTCACAGCAATGGAGAGGGGAGGGAGGAGGGAGAAGGAAGAAGGGAGGAGGCACAAGCCAGACAATCAAAACAGCCACAATATTTTGGAAGTGGAAACTTCCAGCTAGAGAGTATTTTTAAAAAACAGAACGGCAGCCCTGGAAGAGGCATCCACTAAACGAGTGCCCTTGTTTTATATAGGAAAGAGCCAAGAGGTAGAAAGACAAAGTGACTTCCCTGGGATCAGAAAGCTATTAAGTAGCAGAACTGGGACAAGAATCTGGATCTTTGGTCCTTTGACCACTCCAAAGAAGGTTGGGGGAGTCTTTTCTTTAATACCAGACACTGACAGGGGAAGCTCTTTTGTGGGAGCTTAGGAGATAAAGGATGCTGAACCAGCCAGTGCCTGCAGGGAGAAGCAGGTGGCGGTGCCTGTACCTTGCAGGTTGAAACCCCGGGGTGTCAGCCCCTGAATCTCCACAGTGGGGAGGTCATCCTCTGCAGCATTGGAGGTATTTCGGGGCAGGGCTCGCCTGCCTCCAAATGCAGGTGCGGAGGTCTCCGACATTCTCAGCTTCACAAGCTCCTTGTGGGGGGATGGAGTGGAGGGAGGGAGACACAGAAGAGGAATAGGAGGTGAGTTACGTTTGAGACAAGGATTCAAAAATAGAGAAACAGACATATCTGTGTGAGATAACACTGGAGCAACACATTTTGAGCTTCGCATAAATAAAACTTGAGAAGTGGCAGTAAAGATTAGTCTAATGATGGAGTATAGCTCCCCAAGGATCTCGGGGAGATTTCTTGTTTGTCAAAACATATGGAAAGCAGAAGAAAAGGGCCTTATTTGAAGAAATGAAAAATGTAAATGATTTTAGAAAGCAGTATTTTTTATCCCCTCATTACCTCTAAAGGCAATATCTTTGTGAGAAATGTTTACTGTCATATGCCTGTATGTATGTCCATTTCATATAGGCTTGGGAAACCTAACTTACTTTTAAGAATAACCTCATTCAGCCATGTCTAGATAAGCAGCATCCTCTAAAGCATTCATGTTTGCAGTTTAATTCAGCCTATATTTAATGAGGGCCTACTATGTGCCAGGCTGTGATCTGGACACTTGTGGGATACACCAGAGAACAGAAGAGAGGATTGTTGACCTAGAGTCTAGGGAGGGTTAGGGTGGAGCCCACACTTTCCAGAAGTAAACAGAAAGGGTGTAAGAAGGTGGCCACTACTTTGGAGCCAAGACCACACAGAGCAGAAAGCAGATAGAGTCTGGGTGGGTGGGTGGGGGGGTACATTTGCAATTTTAAATAAGGCTATAAATAGCCTTTCTCTAAATGTACTTGGTCAGTGGTGCTAACACTGCCATTGCTCCAAGCCTGCTTCCCCTTCCTCTGGAGTTTGTGCAGGCAAGGAGCCAGCTCAAATACCACACACCTCACTGTCACTCCTCAGTCAGGACTTGTTGACCGACTGACCAAATAAAGGGAGCCCTTGTTTCTGACCCAAATGAAGCTTTCACCTGGATCACCTGGATCACCCAGTCATGACTCTCAGTTATTTGGCTTTCCCCCCCAAAACCAAGCACACCCTCCAAAGATGAAGAGCCTCCACTATAGAGGCGAACCAGAGTAGACTGTTCTAGAAGCAAAGGCAACCCAGCTGGAGACAAGAGAACCACTTACTAGGGTATTTGGTCTGGAAGGAGACAGCGATGTTTGCAAGAATTAAGTCTGAATTGGTTTCCGTAAATACCTACAGCCTTATTTACACAAAGTCTCCAGTGAACTCAGGGGACAGGGAGAAAGGGTTAATGATGGAGGGAAGGCTACTGGAGGAGAGGCTTTGGGGGAGAACAGAGTAAAGCCAGGCAGAGCACTGGCTTGTTGGGAGAGAGAACCCAGAAAGCAGAGAGCAGGGGACCTCCAGGTGCTTGGCTGATAAAAGGATCCTGTGCAGGCCTGGATGGGTGAGTGCATGTGGCAGAAGTATCCCCTTCTTACAGGTGGCTGGGGTGTAGGTACTGGGCAGAGGCCTCCCCATTGGGAGGGGAACAGAGGATGCACAGGGACAGAGAGCAGAGCCAAGCAGGTGTTCTTACCCGGCCCTATCTCTCTGTCCCTCTCCATCCTTCTGTCTCTCACCCCTCCACAATCCTCCCTTGGGGGAACACTCCCAAGGCCCTATTCCCAGCTAGTGGCCTTCTTGCAAGCAGTGCCTTTAGGGCAACTCGGAGGAGTACTTGAGGAGTCCCCTCTGACGGAAGGAGGACTGGGTAGGCGCGGAGATAGGGACAAGGATCAGAACTGAACAAGGGAGGCCCCCTCCCCGCGCTGGCCCCCTGCCCCCAGAGCAGCCACCTGAGGGACTTCCGGAAACCCCAGGCAGGGGATGGATACAGCCAGCCCCTGGGCTCCTGGGTGCAGGCTTGCAGCTGCTGCGCTGGGCAGGAGGGGCGGCTGCTTACCTGCGGTCCCCTCCTGAGGTGGCCTAGCCTCAGGCTGGCGCTGTGCTGCTCAGGGACACTTCCTCAAAAGGACGCAGTTAAAAAGACAAGGAAGTTGGCTCTTAAATAACTTCCTAACAGCCCCCACCCTCTTCCCCCGACCCACAGGGTTTTCTCCTCCCCCTTCTTGACAGCTGGAGCAAACCAAGCAGCTTCTAGGACTTCCTGTTTACTTCTGCCACCCTGCTGTGTTACTTGGGAGTGAGACTCCCCCCCCCCCTGCCCTGCAAGCTCCCAGCCCTGCTTCTCCTCACCATCCCCACCTCCAGTTCTGCAGCCCTTCTCCAGTGGTGTCAGGCAGACTCTGTCCCTGTCCTTTGGTCAGAGAGGCTGGAAGGGTCTTCCTTCACAAGGCAATGTCCCTGTCCTCAGGTCAACAGGTGCGGCTAGGCTGGAATGAAGGGTGCGTCTGCCCTTTTGCAGACAGGTCACAGACAGCTGTGACCATGCATGAAGTGTGCCCTTCTTGTGTAAATAAGGCTGAGAGGCCTGGTCTACATCCTTGAAACATCCATGGGAGCCTCAGCTACCACCTTACTGCAAAACTTCCCATAGGAGGGGAGGCCCAGCCCTGGGGAAGATGAGTAAATAACTTTGAGTGTCAAAAACTTTAGAAAATAACACTCTTTCCCCACCCCTGAAAACCATTTTGGTTTATCTTTAAATAACAGGAGAGATAGAAAAATTTTTTTCTACGTATATATTTTTTCTGAGTCTTTGTGTCTCTAAATACTCCTATTTTCAGACTGGCTATTTTTAATCTTCTTTACCGTCTTCAAATTTCTGACCCTGCCCCTTGATCTAATTTCACAGAGAGAGGGGGAAAAAAGATGCCATTGGTTAAGAATTCTCTACACTTTCTGCTACCAATCTATGAACTTGCCTGCTAACTTACCCATCTTCTCCCTCTTTCCTCCTCTCACTTAAGTGGGGAAGGCTCCCACCCACCCCCTTGTCCATGGTCAAGTGCACTGGGCTGTGCTATTTTGTCTGTGGTCCATGTCACCTTCTTCTCCAGGTCCTTGCTATGTATCCATTCTCTGCCCTCCATCTTCTGCCCTGAAGCTGCTTCCTACTAGCATTTACACAACTTTAAAGCTAGTCTCTTCAAAACTTTTTACAACTCTCCCTCAGCTGGCCCCCCCCCAGCTCCCCCCCCACCCCTCGCCAGCTATCATTCCTCCCTCTCCTCTCCATTGCAAGCTTCTGGCATCTGCCTCCATCATTCTGCTGAAGCTAGCCCAAGCTCACCAATGGCTTGTGCTAAATTCAAAGGACAGGATTCAGTTATTTACTTGACCTTTGGAGACACTGAACTTGCCCACTCTTGCCTGGAAGGTCTTTCCCTCCCCCCTCCAACCTCTGAGACAATTGAGGAGAGTGAGTTCCTGCACATGCTCCCTTGGATAAACTCTGTGTCCTCCTTACACTCATTTCCCATCTGGGTCCTTACATGTCCCAAATCTAGGTCTTTAGCCATGATCTTTTCTATAACTTCAGACTCCCCAGTTTAACTGCTTCTCATCCATCTTCACTTGACATCTCCCAGGGATAACTCATATTCATCAGGTCTAAAATGACATGTATAATTTCCCCCTGTAACTCGGTCTATGTCAGAAGTTCCCTGTCCCAGTGAATGCTGCCACCCTGCATTCCTTTGCCAAGCCAGATGTGTGGTGTTATTCTTGACACTTCCTTTCCCCCACCCCCATCCCTAAATCCAATCCTTCAACAAATATTTATATTCTTCCTCTTAAGCGTCTCTTGAATCTACCCATTCTCTCCCACTCCCACTGTGGAGGCTCAGACCACCACAACATCCTCTCTTATCAAAATCATAAGAGCCACCTACCGCTTCTGATCCTGACTCCTCCAATCCATTCTCCACACTGCATTGAGATGGAGCTCGGTGGGACTCAAATCTGAGATCAAATTCTTTGCACAAGCTCTTCTATCACCACTTCTCTGTGCTCTTAGGATAAATTCTAAACTCGATTTGACTGGATCTCTGCCATGTTGGCCCTGCTTTACTCTCCATCCCCATCTCTTTCACTCTCTCTTGACTGCTGCTGGGGATTCCCCCTCCACCTGCACACTGTCCCCCATCCCTGTGCTATGCTCCAGCCCCAGTGATTTTTGTACTTGTACCACTGCTAGAAATACACCCCTCTCCTCTTCTCACTATAAGACTGTTTCTTATGCGCTCTCCAGATCTCAATCTCAACTGCATGCATGCCCCACAAGCAGCTGGCCTTCTCCTGGTGGTCTTCATACTAGGCAGCTACTTTCTGTTTCTTTGTCTGTACCCCAACTAGACTACATGAGGGTAGTAGCAACTGGAGTTCCCCAGGGAGAGTCTGCTGACCATTCAATTACTCAAAAGTCCATTCTGGGGCACCTGGGTGGCTCAGTTGGTTGGGTGTCTGACTTAGCTCAGGTCATGATCTCATCATTTGTGGGTTCGAGTCCTGTGTTGGGCTCTGTGCTGACAACTCAGAGCCTGGAGCCTGCTTCCGGTTCTGTCTCCATCTCTCTCTTCCCCTCCCTTGCTCTCACTCTCTCTCTTTCTCTCTCTCTCAAATATAAATAAACATTTAAAAGATGTCCATCCTTTCCATATTCTTTGCTGAGTGCTAGAAAAGAACCATCTTATTCTGATAGTTCTCCTGGCAAAGATCAAGCCTGGTGTTTCAGATTCCTAGAGATACCCTTGCCTATGTGGGTCTGGGGAAGAGTCCTCCAGATCCAGCTGCACAGCTACTGGGTCTTGTGATTCCTGACTGTGCTGTGCATTCAGAACAGCCTTGTCATCCTCACAACCACCACCTCAGCACCACTTTTGGCCCCTGAGTATTGTGTGCATGTGCAGGCATATTGGTTAGCTTCCTAACTCCCCCAAACCAGCAACCCAGAAGCACTAAAAATATAATGGTTGGGGCACTTGGATGGCTTAGTCAGTTAAGAGTCTGACTCTTGGTTTAGGTTCAGATCATGATCTCAGTTTCCTGAGTTCGAGCCCACATTAAGTTATGCTGTAGGTGGCTCAATTGGTTAAGGATCTGCTGTCGGCTCAGGTCCCACAGTTCATGAGTTTGAGCCTTGCGTTGGGCTCCGTGCTGACAGCTCAGAGACTGGAGCCTGCTTTGGATTCTGTGTCCCCCTCTCTCTCTGTCCCTCCCTAACTTGTGCTCTGTCTCTCCTTCAAAAATAAATAAACATTAAATTTTTTTAAATTAAAAAAAATGCAATGGCTTTCCTTGTGTCTAAATATAGTGTCCATAAGAGAATGTCTGAGGGCACAAATCACTAGCATGTGGTTAAAGCCCAGCCATGTTACAGAGACTTTCCTCACGGTCTGAGGCTTAAAAGTCAGAAGGAAATTTTCTGACCATATGATGAACCTTGAACCATGCCTGAAAATGTGACTGCTGTAGAAGCAGCTGGATGAATAGACTCTTAACTCTGTGGTGTCTTCGGCCTCTGAATGTTCCTTGCCTGGCATGGAGGTGACACAACATATGTATTTAAGGGATGTTGCATGTGGGGTCCAGCTGGGAAACAAAAACCATCCTGGATATTTGTAAAAGAAGGAATTTAGCACAGGGGATTGGTTACACAAGTGATAAAAGATATCAGAAGACAAAGAGGGGAAACCAAGTCAGCTCAGCAAATAGCCACAGCAAGGAGGAGTGGTGTCATCACAGCACAAGGGCTAGGGTTATGTTGCTGCTACTGAAACAGCTTGAGATTTTGTCATCACCAGAAACAATGCTTGTCTGAGGTCAGGGGAGAGGGAAGAATGACCCTTGCTCATCTCTTCCTTCCCTTTCCACTTTCCCTCATTGTCTTTCATTTGCCCAATTTAGTGAAAATCTGTTGACAAAGGAGTCAGGGTGACCCAGTCCACAAAGCTGACACCAACACACCTGTGTTGAGAAGGGCTTCCCAAGACCAGCACCAGGTTGGATGATTCACCAGGCTGTTATCTTCTCAGCTGTGATTTATCACAGAGCAAAGATAAAAATCAAAATCCACAAAGCAAAAGGCTCATGGAGTGAAGTCAAAAGAAAGCCAAGAGCAAGCCTCCAGAGTCCCCTCCCAGTGTAGTCAGACACATGCGAAGTCCCCTAGCTATGAATGTGACAATGTATGTGAAATGTTGTCCACCAGTAAGGCTCAGGAGAGACCCAGTGCCCAGGGATTTTTTTTGGAGGCTGGTCACATAGGCACTGTGCTGAGCATGTACCAAACTCCAGTCTTGCAGAAGGAAAGCAGGTGCTCAGCATAAACCGTCTGTACAAACAGTGCACATAGTGACCCATGCTCATCACTTAGGAAACAGTGGGACTCCTGAAGCCCAAGTTCCCAGATGCCAGCCAAGGGCCAGCCATGCAAAGAAGCCTTTCTGAGGAGGGCAGTCTCAGGTCTGCTGTGTTGACTCCTTTCTCCATACCCTCCCTGCTTCTCACCCCACCATCACCCAAGACAGAGGGGAGCAGGGACAAAGTGAAGAGTGGGTCTCAGGGCAGAAAGTTCTAGTGAGGTCAGTCTCTCACTCTGCCTTCTACCAGAGCCATAGCAGTGGCCTGGAACAAGAGGTAACTCCAAGGGGGAGGTCCCAGACTGGAGTGATACAGATCTGCCCCCCACTTTCCCTGGCCTTGCTGGCTCAAGAAGGGACCTGAGGAGGTGTCCATTCTCTCAGAGTGCATGGCCCCAGGCATACATTCTCACTTCCCTAGAACTGGAGAGGCCATGATCCCAGGGTCTTATTGATTGAAACAGAACTGCAATTAACCCCTCATTGCCTACTCAAGGGGCAGGGCAAAGATGCCTAAACCCATCACTTAGGGATCCTGGCTCTTGCCAGAAATATGTAGGAGCCTTTGGAGCTGTAGGTAAACAGAAGATGCCTGGGAGGAAGGATTCCAAGTTCTATGACTCTTTCTGAGTTTTCATTTCTATGGTATGGACACTCTCCTCTTCAGATAAACTACCATTTCTCTCCTTCTTGGAAATACCCAGAAGCAGACT